TGTGTGTGTGTGTGTGTGTGTGTGTGTGTGTGAACACATTTGGTGGTCCTTGTTTGTGTATGTGTATGTGTGTACATGTAAGAGGCCAGAGGTCAGCCTTAGGTGTCGTTTCTTAGGATCTATCCATCAGCCTTTGTGAGATAAGGTATTTCATTTGATTGAAGCTTTCTGAGTAGGCAAGGGTAGCCAGCCATCAGGACTGAGTGTTTCTACTGTGTCCATTTCTTCAGCACTGAGAGGTACCACCATGCTCAGCTTAAAGAGATATTTCTTTGAGCTCTTGGGATCCAACTCAGGACTGATGTAGGAGGGTCATCTGCCTATTTGTTACTTTCATTGGTTAATAAAGAAACTGCCTTGGCTTTTTTTTTTCTGCCCTGGCTTTTGATAGGACAGCAGCTTAGATAGGTGGAGTAGACAGAACAGAATGCTGGGAATATGGGAAGTGAGGCAGACACCATGGCTCTCCTCTCCGAGATGGATGTGGGTTAGAATCTTCCCGGTAAGTCATGACCTCGTGGTGACACACAGATTATTAGAAGTGGGTTGAATCAATATGAGAGAGTTAGCCAATAAGATGCTACAGATAATGGGCCAGGCAGTGTTTAAATGAATACAGTTTTCGTGTAATTATTTCAGGGGTAAGCTAGCCAGGATCTGGGCGAGAACACAGCCCGCCGTTCCTTTTACACAGGACTTCATGCTTGGAAGCAAACATATTACTGACTGAGTCATCTTCTTGTCCAAATTTCCTATCTTAAGGAAATAGTTTCATGTGTCCAATTTTTTATGCTTGCTTTTTATTTTTTGTCTGTAAGATTTTTTTGTTGTCATTGTTTTCAAGACAGGGTTTCTCTATAGCTTTGGAGCCTGTTTTGGAACTGGCTCTTGAGCTCAAGGTTGGCCTTGAACTCACAGAGATCCACCAGCCTCTACCTCCTGAGTGCTGGGATTAAAGGCGTGCACAACCACTGCCCAGCTAAGATTTTTTAAAAATAGTTTTTGTGTTTGATTTCACATTGAACTGACAGGTATCATTTGTTATTTTGTAATTTTATTCTGTAAGGTATTAATGTTAGTAACATTTTTAATATTGTAATAATAATTGAGAATCCAAATAATCTGGTTCCCAAATTAAGATGTCAATTATATTTCATTGAAGATGTTTAAAAAATGGTTGATTACAAAATGAAAATATTTCATGTGGAAAAACTGTTTCTTAAATGTATACATATTTATTTACATTATATATTTTTAATTAATTATTTATTTTAATAATTATTTATATTTAATTTGAGTGATGGTCTGATTGGGGAGATGAATCAGCTGACCACTCATTTGTTTATTCCAGAAATAGACTTTGAGTGACAATTGGTTATGGTATACCTGAAACTTTATGCATAAGTGCTGTGAATATGTGTGAAAAACAAAATCTACCTTTTTCAACATATCTTGAACAAATAATCTTAAAAAAACAACACAATTTAAGGCAGGGCAGTGAGTTTACAGACAGACTGCTCTGTGTTTAAATTTGTTTCTGGTACAAAACAGTTGTGTCAAATGCCCCAAAGACACCAAGGAGGACAGTGACAGGTTCCTCCACTGATGCCTGAAGTAGGTAAGCCTGCATCGTGTAGTCATTATCACAGTCTTGTGGGTACACAAGTTAATTGAGAAGTGTTATTTTATATTCCCTTATTCTGATTATTGCTTGATAAGTCCCTCTTGTTATAGTCAAGATTAATTTGACTAAATTATTGAATATTGAACAACAAACAATACAGTACTACCTTACTGATTTATGATTATTAATATTTAATTCACTTAAGAAAATGACAATCGCATTTGCACCTCAAAAAGCATCTCTGGCTGTGAGAATAAAAAAAGATTACTTTTATAGTTAGAGGCAAGAGCTGCTAATGCTTTATCAAATTTAAAATTGTAAGTTTTAATATATAAGTATTTAATATATAAGTATATATTATATGTAATATAAGTTTTAAATATCTGTATTTATATAGAGCATATATTATACATCTATATATATAAAACCATACTTTTTTATTTATGTAAGGAAAATTATAAATTTATCAGACATCTCCTTCTCTCTCTGTCTCTCTGTCTCTCGTGTGTGTATGTATCTGTGTGTGTATGAAGGAGGTCAGAAGAAAGCCTATAACTTATATGAAGACAGTAAATATTTCCTTATTAGTTACAAACTATGAAAGTGGAAAATCACAATGTAGATCTTTTTATTCTCAGTTTTATTATCCTTCAGCTAATTTGTAGTTTAAATGTGTTCAAAACTTATAAAAGTTAGACCTACATAAGATTTATTGAATTGAGTTTTCATAATTCGTGTTAGGATGTTTCTCTCGGTAGTCTTGGAGTTCTTATTCACTGATAACAACTGTGTCTCATTTTTTTTCACCTATTTTAAAGAAATTACCTCCAAAATTTGGAAAATTTCAGGATCAGAATTATAATTTTTTTTCATTTTTGAATGTCATTTTGAAAGACATTAACCACACACAATATTCCTAAAAAAGAGATTGTTGAAATTTAATTTTGAGGAACAGAATTTACATGATGATAATTCAATATTGGATTGATTTTTAGCTTCTATTACCATGTATGCAATTACTCTAATCTACATGAAATTAATTTTGATATGTAATAGTTCAACTGTATTGTCTTAACAATTACACTTCTGGTTAGAAAGCTAGCTGAGTCTTAAACATGCCATCACTCAAGCTATTAATAACATTAATTTATCTGGAACATCATATACAAATGATTTACTTTGAAATTGTTTGCTTTAATACTTTTATTAATTTAGCCTCAAGTGTTTATTGAAGTTTTAAATAATTATTATCATTTCAATCCATACTAGTAATCTGTTTAAAAACTTTCTATAATTTGGAATAATACATGAAACGTCTTCTGGAACACAGGTCCTTTGCAAGTGTGCTTAACAGCTGAGTTATTTCTCCAGACCTCACAATCTCTTTAATAAGAACGTAGTGTTTTTAAAGGCTTGAAATCAGAAACTAAACTTTTAAGAAAGATCGAGAACAAGTGAGGAGAATGGGCAGGGTAAATAGGCCTAAAATACATTATTTTTATCGTATTAAGTGCAGTAATTAGAAGTAAAATATACATTATAGTAGCCTATGTAATAGACAGGAGGAATACTTCCTATTAAGTGATGATCAATTTTTGTCTGATGTACTGTGTCTAAGGTCTAAGAAGAACAAACATATATAGTAAAGCTTCAGAACTGATCCAGTTGGAGTGGTCAGGGTAGAGAAATGACAAAGCCATTTAAACCAGGACAGTTTAAAATAAGAGTGACTCACTCGAACAGCAGAGTCACGAGGGATTAGTTAACAATAAAGATGGCGCTGTAAAACCCAGGGGCAAAAACAGCAGTATAAGGAGCAGCTAGCTGTCCTATGGAAGGCTGAGACTGCTGAGCATGGCTAAGCAAGACCTTTGGTGCTGAGATCCAGAGCCTCCTGGAGAAGGCACACCAGCGGCATCCCTGTGGTGCCTTGTAGATGGGCCTTGTTTTGGAAGTAACCTGAAGTCGGCCCTCTGTGGCTCTCGGGACAGTTGATCCACAGAAGCACTCTTACACAAAACTGGGCAGCTCCACGGAAAGCCTGCAGGGCACTGCCAGAAGCAAGCAGTGAGACAGAATGTAACTCAGGAGTTAGGTACTGGGAAATCCTCTTCGACTTCGGGACCTCGTCCCTGAAAAAGCTGAGCACATTGAAGACAACTGTGGTAAGTCATTAAAGCGACAAAAAAATTTATTCTCCATTCGTGAAAGTCTGTTCTAACACCTTGGACCGAAAACAACTTAGCGTCTTGTGGCACTGCAAATGACACCATCTGTAATCACAGAGCAGGAAGTCGGGGGAGAGTTGGCCCAAGCAGCTTATGCAGAAATGTTTGCTTTAGAAGTCCAATTTTCTTGAGATATAGATAATCAGGGCGGGATTTGCAAGGAAAGTCTGGATGAACTTTCCACTCTGCATATTCCTAGCGTGGCAGTGCACGCCTCCTCGAACGCCCCGTAGCTGAGCTAGCCTTCTGCCTGCTCATTCATGCGAGGCACGATATTCCTGGTTTTTAACACCTAGCCTGTGGCATGCGTCTAGCTCCCTGTATTTTCACCTCTTCTCTTCTAATTTACTCTTTAACCTGCTCCATTTTTAGTTTCAGCGTCTGCTCCCGCAGCCTCCAGGAGAGGGAGCTCATGTTTCTCTTACTCCCTCACAGGCACCGAGGAACACTTGCGGTCAAGTGACTGTCAACCCTCTGAAAAGTGGAAAATCACTGAGGACTCCTGAAATAATACAATGTCCAGTCTGGAGTGTGGAGATAGCGGTGTGACAGCAGATACAGCCCGGAGATTGTGATTTCGCTCTGCTAGGGGAAAAAGAGGGGCACCACTATTTTCTAACAGACATATACTTTATCGATGAGAAAATTTAGATGTATCTTTAGAATTATTTTTCCCTCTGCTTTACCTTGATTTAATATTTTTTATTATTAAATCACTTTTCTAGGCATGTGCTGTATCAATGTGCTAAAGCCCTAATTTGGATTTATTGGTTGTTATGAGTTACAAATATAATGCATAGTTGATGCTGATAAGAGAAAAAAATAAGTGAATAAGCAAGTAATACATTTTCACCATCATTTAAGTTAACCAATCATTTTAGCTTGATGTAAATCATTTTATATGTTTTAATTCTTGTGTTTTATTGTACTTGTTTTCTAGGCATGGAACTTGTGTTATAGCCACTACTGCCACAAGAGAAAGAAAAATAAAACCAAAAGAATTTGTGTTTTCAGAGCTGAAACCAGAATTCAGCATACTAGCCACATTAGCAGTGCTTAGTCTCCAATTTCCAAACTTTAGTAGCTTCTCATATTTAATTTCACTACTTGATACACATTCAATGTAGATAAATGGGACATTTGCTTCATTTACTCTTACTGGGAAATTAACCAGGAACAATTTTGAATGTAGCAGACTTCATTACATCAGTAATTTCTCATGATTCCTGTGAATCAGCTGATGTGTCTCTTTCTGAGCAGCATGGTGTTCTGTATGGCTGGGGCTCAGCCTCTAACTGATCTTTGCTCTTAACTGAACTAATAAAGACCGAAGGTATTAGTTTGCTTTCCCATGAACTATGTCAGTGGCTGTAATTAGTGCTGTGTTTTCTTTCTTCATTTAATATTATTTCACTGAGGTTCAGTCAAAGTAAGGGAGACACACTTAGACTGATATAAAGGGCCTAGACATTTCTATGTGCAAATTGGCGAACTACACTTTTAATATCATCGTTTTCTGTGTTTGGCCTAGATTTTAAAGACAGATGTATCAATAATTGCTGTGGGACAATGGTTTTACCCTGTAAACATTTGTTTCTTGTACTTGTTTAATAAAATGCTGATTGACCAGTAGCCAGGCAGGATGTATAGGTGGGGTGACCAGGCAGGAAGTAGAGGCGAGGCAATGAGAACAAGAGAATGATGGGAAGAGGAAATGTCAGTCTGCAGTCATCACCCAGGCACAGAAGAAGCAAGATGAAAATGCCTCACTGATAAAAGGTACCAAGCCACTAACTTAACACAGACTAGAATTATGGGTTAATATATAAGATATTAGAGTTAATAAGAAGCCTGAGCTAATAGGCCAATCTGTTTATAATTAATGTAGACCTCTGTGTGCTTTTTTTGGGCTGAAAGGCTGTGGAACAGAAACCTATGCCAACAAATAATTATCCCAAATGTTTTTAAAAGTTGGATTATATTAACAGAAGTGTTTGGCAAAGCTTAAGGAAATAATGAAATTGGCATTGATTGACATTTTCTCTGCTTTGAAGAATATCAGCTGATCTACTTAATAAAAATCAAAAAGTAAATATTATGTTAGCCTGTGATTTTAAAAGGATACCCAATTTTAATATTGCAAATTTCCAAAAGAAGTATTCTCTTGAAAAATCAAAACAAGCATAATATAACAATGCAATTTTACTGAGGTTAAAATAATTGAAGAATTTGGATATGCACTAAAGGCTTATTCTAATAAAACTTTTTTGAACAAATGAATGTCTCCTAATTTGACATAGGGTAGATCATGGGTAGTTAGTTAGGATTTTTATTGCTATGATAAAGCATGAGGACTAAAAAGAAACTTGGGAAAGAAAGAGTTTATTTCATTTTATAGCTCTCTGGTCACAATTCATCAGTGAGGGAAACCAGTGTAGGAACTCAAGGAAGGACCCTGGAAGGAAGAGCTGAAGCAGAAACATGGGGGAAGGCTGCTTACTGTCTTGCTCCCTGCTAGCTTCCCAGCCCATTTCTTTACAGCACATAGTATGCCAGTACTCCCTGCCTAGGAATGGTACCACCCACAGTAGGCTGGATGGTTGGGCCCCTTGAGACCCTGACTTGAGGCCCAGTGTAACTTCTTGAGCTTAACTTGAGTATGCCATGGGCCTTCAGCAGGCAGTCATACTTGCTCAGTATCAGGATCAGGTTAGGGCACTAGGGTTAGCGGCTTGGAAGAAGCTCAAGTAGGGTCCTACTGAAGTCCCGGTGACAGGGATACCCCAGAAGCCAGATGAGAACCTTATATCCTTTAGAGAAAGGGTTAACAAAAGCCTTCAGAGAAAGATCCCCAGGGGGAACTTAGGGACCGGTTAGTTCGAATGCTGGTGTGGGGCAGAATGAATGCCACCTGTAAACGAGCATGTGCAGGATTTAGGAATCACAGCTGGAGGAAGTGGATCATTGTCTCCCGGGATGTGGGCTTTATGTCTCACCAAGCAAGGACTATGGCCTCTGCCATGCAGGGCTTTCATAAGGAAGAGATGGAAACTTTGATTAACACACTACAAAAAGTAATTATAGGGGGAAAGTGGACCTATTTTCATGTGGAAAGGAAGGCCATTTCCTAATATCCTAATAAGGATAGAGTCAGTCTGTCAGTTCCAGCCAAGTCTGGTGTGCTAGGCACTTCATGCCCTGAGTGCCAAAAGGGATTCCATTGGGCCAAGGATCGTGTAGGTCTAAGTTCAATCTTTAGGGGAAGCCTTTAAACTTTCCCAGAGGTCATCCCTAGCCCACTGAATAAGGGTAAAAGGGCAGTCAAAGCACACTGGACTTTGATACCTGGATTGAGACCAAAAATGACCCTAACAATAGGAGATAGAACCTTTAGGTTCCTTATAGACACTGTGGCAGATCGCCCAGTCATCAGAAAAGAGGAACCTCCCCTCATGGCACCTAGTCCCAGGGCCACCTCTACATGGTGTGGGTGGGCAATCTACATCATGGGAGATAACCAACTGGCTGACTTGGACTGTTTCCAATGGTAATTGTGGGGAGGTGTGCCCTCTGGTGGTCTCTGACCTAACTGCCAACCTCCTTGAGCAAGACATCCCCAGGGGGGCTGAGGTGTATATTATCACTGACCATACTGGATATGAGTTACAATTTTAACATGAATGAGCTACTCACCCTAACTCTTGGGTTTACCCAAAATCCTAAGGGCCACTGCTCACTCCCCAGTGCCAAAAATTCAATGGGCATCTGTTGATCCCATATGGGTTGAGCAGTGGCCTCTACCTTCTTTTAACTTAAAACAACTTGATGCCCTCGTTAAACAACAACTGTTATTAGGGCATGTCTGGCCTATCCATGAGCCCTTGGAATTCCCCTGTTTTGTTATAAGAAAGGCTAATGGCTCATGGAGACTTTTACATGACTTAAGAAAAATCAATGAGAGGATGATACCATTTGGGACCCCCCCCCCAGAGGGGACTCCCCTGAATACTTGCCATTCCTAACACTTAATACCCAACAATTGATATTAAATTGATATTGATATTAAAGATTTCTTCTTCTCCATCCTATTACATCCAGACGGCATGGAGAAGTTTGCATTCTCACTGCCCTCAACTAACTTTTGGGACCCAGATCGGAAGTGTGAATGAACTATGTTACATCAGGTGATGGTTAACAGCCCGTCCATATGTCAGTATTGTATGTTACTTATCTTTGCCTCTCATATATATATATATATATATATATATATATATATATATATATATAATACATATATATTTATATTTGTATGGATGATAATTTGGGAAGTTCCACTTCATCATGCCTCCATGACCTCACAGCTAATTGTCTTACCATTCTAAAGGATAATAACTTCAAGATGGTTCCAGATAAAATTCAATCTATTCCTCCTTTTAAAATTTAGGATTCCATCTTGTCCATTGATTCTGTTTCTCCAGCCAAATCCCAATTACACATTCAGGATTCCTATACCCTACCTCAACTCCAAAAGGTACTAGGAGAAATAAATTGGATGTGGCTGTGGATATGTGTTTCCACAGAACAGTTGGTTCCATTGTTGAACTCCTCAATGGCCTCGATCTCTCATCCCACATTACTTTATCCTCTCACCATCAGCAGATCTTATGTCAGGTCCAACATAAGGAGTAAGTCACAAAACAATCCCACACCAGTTAGGAATTATGATTAATAAAAGGATTATTTATTTAAAGGAAAAACTTACAGATCACCATCCTAGACAACACCCCTCTGCACGAACAGGAAAAGAGTCTGGTAGCCGGAAGTGGAGTCTGAAGCAAGAAAGAGAGCTCACAGCTACTGCTGCTCTTTCAAACCAAAGAGACCATGCTCAAGTGGGCTGGTATCTTAAAGGCTATCGGCTGAAGGAGTGGAAGGAGCTCCCGCAGCACAAACAGGCCATTGATACAGTGGCTCTATGAGCTTTGATCCTAATCTACTTGTCTTCCTATATATCTTTCTTGGGGAAACCTTGCACACCACATTATTAGCACAGGAGGGGGAGCCTATTCACTGGGTTCACCTCTCAGTCGGCAGAATTCCGAGGGTCTATTCCATGACCAATCAGAAAGCCTATTGCATCATTAAATTCAGGGATATTTTATTCAGGGTATTTGGCACAGAATCTCATTCCCTTATTGTTCCATTTAAAATCACTGATTTTAAATGATTGCACCTGGCTTCAGAGAAATAATAGTAGAATTGTCATATCCCTTGATGGATTCTCAGGAAAATTGATTGCCATTGTGGCCCTCACAAATGGTTGAGCTCCTTATCTTGACTAGAGTGGAGGTCCCCTAAACTTTTTCTGTCTCAACCCAACCCTGATTTTCTTACAGTGTTTATTGACAGGGGCATATGGGGGTCTTCCTAATTGTATTCCCACCACTCCTACGGGGAGAGGAACCAATGCCTATAAAATCAATTTCCCATGAGGTAGAGGGATCTGTACAGTTTAAAGAATTATTTGTCATCATTATGGCACTGGATTCCATACCAGAGCCATTCAATCTATTCTGTTATCCTCTATGTTGTAAGCCTTTTGCCCAACCTGGTTGAGGCCCATATTAAACTAGACTCCAGCCCTATATCACCTCTTATGATCCAAATTCACTTCTTACTTAAAGAAAGGATTAATCTCATCTTTCTACAATATCTTATAGGTCACCAAAACTTACCTGTATTTCTCTCCAGGGGAAATCATCTAGCTGATCACCTGTCATTTCATGTCTCATTGCAATACTGCTATGGAAGCCACACATTTCTGCCTTTGGACCCACATTAACTGGAGGGGCCTAAAACATAGGTTCCCACAGGTACCAGTTAAAGACTTAAAAAAAATTGTTCAAACTTATAAGTCCTATCAGCCTTTCCTCCAGATTCCTTCCCTCCAAAATGTGGGGCAAAATCCCTGGGGGCTTCACCCCAACCATCTCCTGCAGATTGATGTCACACATTATTCTTCATTTAGATAACTTAAATATATTTTTATTTCTGTGAATACCTTCTCCCGAGCCTGCTGGACTTTGGCACATGCCAGAGAGAAACCCAAACATGCTATTAACCTTATGCTACAATGCCTTGCCATCCTTGGATCACCTAGCCAATATAGAACAGATAATGGCCCACGATTTATTGATAAGGCCTTTGTAGACTTTCTACAAATCTGGAAAATTTCTCATTCTGCTGGCATTCCATATAATCCAAGGGGACAGGCCATCATGGAAAGGGACAATCAAATACTGAAGTCTCAACTACAGAAGCAAAAAGGGGAGTCCTACCCTCACATGATCAATTGAGTAAGGCATTATTGACCTCAAATATTCTAAATTTCTCTAAAGAACATAAATATCTGTCTCCTTTCCAAAGACATTGGTCTTCATCTGTTATGTACAGTTCTATTTGGGTCAAAAGGAGGGACTCTTTGACTGGGCCTGTAGAGGACCTGACTTACTTCTCACTGCAGGAAGAGGGTTTGGATGTGTCTTCCCTCAAAATGAAAAGAGGCCCCTCTGGGTGCTGGATAGAGATCTTCAATATTTACCCCAACAAGGAGATAATGATAATGATGTTT